TAGTCTGAGCTTTTATTCTTGAATATAATTTATATTTATTTGTTATTATACAAATTAAGTCTTTATATAGTTGTTATGTAATTACTTATATAAATTATTCAATAAAAATATGAGCAAGATTTCACCTTAATACCAAAAAAAAAAAAAATACTGTAGCTTACTCTTGGGTTAATTTATATGGGTCTACTTTTGAATAGATTATTTATATACCTGAATTTTAAATTTTAATCCAATTGATTCTATAAAATCAAAAATTTTACTGATACTTTTTTTATTTGTACAAAAATAAATTAAATATCAGGGATGTGATATATTATGTTGCAGAATCATGGGATGAAGTTGAAGAATCAACCATCGTTAACTGCTAGAAAAAAATAGGAATTCTTCCCTTATTATCGGATACTAAAATTGATGTTTCTACTTATACTATTCAAGACTTAGCAGATGTAGAAAAGAATGAAGTTGACGAATTAGTCATAGATCTAATGACAAACCTGTCAGATCCTACAATCGAACATCAGCTAAATGAATGAATGATTCTCAAATACTCACTGAAGATCTTCTCAATGAAGATGAAATTGTTAACATTGTGTTGGACGAACAATAGGAATTCAAAGAAAGTGATCCAAGCGATACTAACGAAAAACTGCCTGAAATCTCTATTATAGAAGGTTTAAATGGACTAACAAAGTTCATTAGTTTTTTTGAGCAACAAGAGAGTTGTGATTTTAATATAGAGAATCTTAAAGTTTTTAGAAAATACTTACTATTAATTAAAAGAAAATTTATTGAATCACTAAGATAAAAGCCAATCACTGATTTTTTTTCCCTGTTTATGATCAATAACAGGGTTATTAGTCTTTTTTTTTTTTTTACCTTTTAGCAGGATTTTTTTTTTTTTTTGAAATTTTTAACATATTAATATATACATAAAAGTAAGATTCTAGCTATTGGGTTTTTAAATTTGGTTTTAATTTCAAACCTGTGTTTTTTAATACATTGTTTTTACTTCAAACCTTTCAGAATTCTGGATTACCATCACCAAATGACTTCTCTTTCCTTCTTAACCATCAATAGCATTATGTTTCCTATAGATCGTCAATGGCATAAATTAATTGTGCTGCTTATAAGCCGTCGATGGCATAAAATAATTTGCTAATATTATGAAGTGAATTGGTATTCTAGGACTTTTTTAATGTCTCTACATTTTATTTAGTGTATTAATAGTAAAAAACAATATAGTAAAATATTCAATGTTGTATGGGTTTTATGGTAGTTTTTTTTTTATACCGGCGAAGGTTTCTGTCATTATTTTGTGTATATAAGTTTAAAATATTAGCAAATAGATTTGGCGAATATTTTATCTTAAGTTTAATTGTTGATTGTTAATTAAAAATACCACAGAATTGCTTTCTTTATAATAATAGTGACCATTGCCACTATCCAACTCACCATTCAGCATATCTATGCTTTTTAAAAAATGACACCATTGGTAAAAATACAAACTTATATTCAGCTAAATACAAGTTACCGTATTTGTACATAATAATGCCTCTTGTGCTTTGAGTCTCTGCACGTTATTTAGAAGAATGTACCTTATTTTAAGCAAGAATACAAATTTTTTTTTCTCAAAAGCTCACAACACATGGGTGTAAAATAATAACTAAATTAGTAACAGTTTTAAACACAAACTATAAAAAAATACATTTTGTCTCTCATCAGGTAAAAAACTATTATGTTTATTATCTCTTCTACTTTTATGATACACCTACTTACTAATTTGAGAGTATCAAATAGACAACCTACATATAATTCTACTATTCACCATAAGTGTTATTGCGGCAACTACTAGATGGTTTGGTGAAAAAGACCAGAATTTATTTGCAAAAACCTACTTATTACAATGTAAACCAAAAATTAGGTCAGTGCTGTCTATTAAATACAAGAAAATTTCTTCGTGACTATCGTTCCGACTAACTACAACTTTAAAAACTCAAATCATTCCGACAGTTCTCCCAACAGGTAGACAGCCAAATCAATTGCTATGGTGGAAGAAAACTGACAAAGTCGGGCTAGTAAAAAAAAAACATAAATTACTTTATCTGTTTCCCTTAAATATTATTAATAATTACTAACCATACAAAATCATATAATAAAATCATGACAGTGCTCAATTAATATAGACCCATGATCAGATAATTTCATCAATTAAGTTACATGAAAGTAAGTGCGCTGGGACACGCATGAGCGATATTTTGAGTAATTTCAATTTCAAATTAATGCCTGGCTCGCTATTACACTTTTTTTATGTCCAAGCGAAACATTCAAGTATTGCGAAAGTTGTCAATCATTGCCAAGCATAAAGAATATAACAAATAATTTGAAAAATAATTAAATTAAATTGTGTATAATATTTGCAAAAACTGATAGTATCATAATTAAAAGAACTAATATTAGAAATAAGTAGAAATGCTTATCTTATACTGAAACTAATTATAGCATAAGCCATAACAGTTTCTACCATGTTTTACATCAAAGTTAAAGTATATTTTCAACATAATTTTGTTATTATTTAAAAAAGCGAAAGAAGCATAGATCTCTAATATTGAATATACTATAGTATATTGATAAAGAAAGAAGGAATTGTTTATAAATTAAATAAAAATAATTTATAATTATTTGGCAAGTACTATAATAATAAGCTGCCAAACAATTCTACTTATTTACCTTTTTAAAATCACATTATATATATTATTGTATATTATGTGATTATATAGAGGTAACTCTATTTAGTCACCCCTCTATATATTCACCAAAAAGTGCTAGATAAACTAGGTGATTATATGGGAGGAAGACTGTATATTGTTTAATGCCTCGTAAAAATATCTATTTCGTAGTATAATGAGAAAAAAGAACATCAAGTGATAATACCTAAATTATAAAATAACATTTTATCTACGAATTTACCAGAAATTAACGGAATTTTACGTGATAAGTAATATTCAATACCAAATGGCATTGATAAATTAATAATCTTTATACGAACACTTAATGTAATGTGAATAAAATTATATGGCCTGATAGTAAACTTTCATAAAACTTGAAAGGCTTAATTTAGGTGCCTTGATGAGCGAAAGTTCTTTTGCTCAGCTAGAAATTTAAGCATTGAATACGTAACTGGCTATAAATTTAATATGCCATCTCTGGGCATGAAGAGACCCAAAAGATTCTATATTAACTTTTACTGCGTCTTGGGACTACATTTGCCTCAATAGCGGGGTTGGCAAATGAACTAGTTATTTAAAACTATGATGATCAAGAAGACAAATTATTAAGCGCCATAGTTATTTTTCATTGTGTTATTTAATATAAATTTAAAGAAAATTATTTTATATTTATCTATATATATATATTGTACGTCGGAATGGAATTATTATAGATTTAGAATCCGATTCCGAATAAACATGGATTGTAATAAATTCTAAAATGTGCCCAAGTCGTTAAAGAATTCCATTTCAACATCGACAAAATTATGTGTATTTCAAATTATTTCATCGAATACGTTGTTTTGGAATTTAAATTACTTTAAGATAGGATTTATTCATAACACAGTGCATTTAATTAAATTTAAAAGCACGACACGAAGTTTTTTATCTATGACTGGTGGGATAGCAATTATTCCTACATTAAATTTATTTTTACATTTACAGCGATTTTTTTTCATACATTTTTGCAATTGTCTTAATATTACCTACTTGTGAAGAGGAATGCTTATAAGGAGTGAAAAAAATACTATTTCTATCGCGTATTGCAGATGTATTTTGCCAAATAACGATATTTCGCATCCATATTGTTGTATTTGCTGAATCTTGTAAAACCTTAATACAGTACAAAAAAAAAGTCTTCATGTAAGATTTTATATTGCCAATTTGCCGACTCATTACTAAAATATTTGGAAAGCAATTCTTTGAATACATTACGGGTAAAAATGGATAATCTTAATATCCGGTCATCAGGTAGAGAGAATAAATAATAAAAGATTTGTATTTTAACTTAACAATATATCATGATTATCAAATTTAAAATCAACTTAAGTTGCTATTAAATTTATCGATTACATAGTATCATGTATAGAATCGACTTAAGTTTCTTTTAAATTTCGTATCAACTTGGACTACATTTGTGATTTTGCTCTAACCTAAGTGGATTCTAAATATACAATAATCATGTTCCGACGTATGAAATATATAGCATTATGATTTAAAGTTTTGTGATTATATTTAATTAAGCTGCAGATAATATAAAGTCGATTTAAGGTATTTAAGTTGAAATGACCCAGGAAGAATCACGTAACAAATATTTTTGTGACATATGCTAACATTTAAAGATAGCACTGCTGATAAAAGCACTAATTTATACATCTTGGCTAATTTTTTCTGTTCCTAAAATTTAAAGGGTATTAGCCGATCGGTGGTGTTGGTGTTAAAACCGTGAGAGAGAGACTTGCCTAACATGAGGTCAAATTAGCTTAGGGTTACAAACATAGGTTATGCGAGATGAATGTTTATAAAGGATTCGGATTTAATGATGGCAGATTATTAAGGAATGTATTTTAGTTGGTATACGATTCATAAAGTGCTTTATTTATTATTTCATTTATGAATCATACAGAATTCTACCTATTCTCTATTAGTTTAGCTGTTATATTATATATTATAAAATAACAACGGTCGGGAACCATGATCTGTGGTCACAAACTAAGATCTGTGATTCAAACCAAGATCTATGGTCCTAAACCACTGAACCAATATCTGTGGTTCTAAACTATGCGCTAACAAATATAGTAAGAAATACTAATACAATATAGAAATATAACAAGGAAAATTTAAATACAAAATTTTCGTAACACCGGTTGTTAGATTTTATATCGAATAACGATATCGGCATAAATAAACGTAATAGTAATCGATTTGTTGTTGATTTGATTAGTGAAAAAAGTAATCGGTTAAAGGGTGGAGTAATCAGTTAAATGCAAGTTCTATTATATGATTTTTTAAACTTAGAATACTTTCTAGTGACAACATATCTATTGCATCTAGCAAAAAATTATAATTTACATTGATCAGATTTGATCAGTTTTTTTGACCATAAAAAAAGATCCAATAAAAACTGGCCCAGTAAAAATATAGTATTGGGTTTTTAAAATGTGCCCTAATGTATTTTTCTTTCTTTTTTTTTGCCAAACAAAACTGCAAAAGTTGTCGATCATTTAATGGAATCGGAAGAAAATATCACTTTGAAAGTACTAAAAACAAAAATATTTTTATTTTCCAAGCCTAAAGAATGTAACAAATTATTTGAGAAAATAATTTGTCGAATGATTAATATGACATTAAATTAAATAGCGTTTACTACTTTGCCAAGACTAATGGTATTTTGATCGAAAAAACTGAAATTAAAGGCATTGTAGAAATGTTACCATATAGTGTAACTAATTACAGAAAAGGCCGTAATAGTTTTTACCATGTCTTTA